AAAATTATTGATTTTTCTTTTATGCCAAAAATCATTAGGATATTAAGTAAAGATCATGTTCCATGAAGATATTTTGTAAATTTCCTACCGTAAATATATCAAAACTTAATTTTTGATTATTATAATATGCATTGCTAAGAACTTCATTTGGACAAATTTAAAGGCGATTTTCTCAGTATTTAGATTTTTTTGCACCCTCAGATTCCAGATTTTCAAATAGTTGTATCTCGGCCAAAATTGTCCTATCCTAACAAAACATACATCAGTGGAAAGCTTATTTATTCAGCTTTCAGATGATGTATAAATCTCAATTTCAAAAGATGTACCCTTATGACTGGTTTTGTGGTCCAGGGTCACATATAGTTCATTTGTAACTATTAGTTGCCTATTGTTTTAGTTTTTATCAAGTAATTTATTTCTTCATTCTTTTTTGATCCAACTCCTCCCACCTTACATATACCTAAACCTACCCGTCTCCACCCCCTGATCCCTAAAGCCACCCATCTCCACCCCCTAGATATGGATCCAACCACGCCCCCTGGATCTTGTGTTCTGCAGTGAGGGGCTACTGAGTTTGGTTCTCCATACAAGCCTGCAACCTTTAGCCAAAAAAGCGTAACGACAAATGCTAATGCTGCGTTTTGGTGGTATGCAGGGAAGGACACCAGAGGCCATTGTATGATTGGCTGAGGTGCCTCACGTGATCCAAGTTAGCCGGTACTCTTTTTTCCAATGGTAAGTTCTAGAGACCCTGGCATCTCCCAATAATAAGACAATCTCTGCTAGAAAGTTACTGGCAGGCGAGTTTGATCAAGGTTGGAGCTAAACTCTGCAGGAAAGTGGACCTTGAGGGCAGTGGCGGCTCGTTGGGGGAGGAAGGGGAGGCACAGCTTCCCCATAATTTTAGGTGAAAATGGGAGGAAGACGATTTAATGTTAATAAAATTCACAATTCATTTCAGTTCATGTCTCAGAATGAGTTTTTTTTTGTTGTAATTTCACAGTTGTAATACCATAACGTGAAAGCGCCGCTTTTCTATCGCGAATGTGCCGAATCTGCTGATGTAATTGCAACCGCTAATGATAGAGAGGGGGAGGCCGTGGGAGACGCTGAGCTCTCGTGCCTCCGTTGCTAAAAAAAATTAGCCAATCACCATCGAGTGTTCACTTTCAGCGCTGAGGAGTGTTGAGAAAAGAACCCTTGCAAGGGAGGCTAGCCTCCCTTCTGATATCAACAAGTGAAGTTATATTATCTTGCTGAATGTATGTCGTTTTCTTTACGTTTTCTGACTAAAAGCAACCAAAAAGCCATTTTAAAGTGGTTAAGCAAATAATAATAATAATAATAGGCAGGGATCCCAGACCAATACAATTAGTGTGCCTCCTCTATTTTAAAACCCACGAGCCGCCACTGCTTGAGGGTCAGAGTTGAGAATCCCTGATTTACGTCGATGTCTTTGGTCCACGTTGCATTCAAATTTCAGTTGAACAGCACCAGAGTTTGTTTGGACTTTTTTGGCTTTTCGGAGGTCTCGGTTTGCTTGTTTGTTGCACACCAATGCTGCATCCATCCTAAATAGTATTTGAAAATAGAATTAGTATGTCCCAAATCGTAGAACGTTGAAATGAGTATGCCAGAGATTCCCGGATGGTCTACTACTACTGGTTAGAATTTGAAGTGAAGATCGATGTACACTCTAACAGCTAATATTGCTTACAACCCATTGCACGTTGGACGTGGATTTGATTAGAACTACAAACACTCATAAAAAGTGTTAAAAACTACACACATGGCGGATATGCGAGACCTACTGACAGGTAGAGAAAGGGGTTTGATTTTTAAATAATCAATGTCTAACCTGATGAACAAATATTTATTTAATGTTATCCGTGTTATATTTCATCTGCAGCAACATTGTGACCTTTTATAAAGATACGTTTGGTCATTAACTTATAAATGCATCATTATGCAAACACATGAGCAGATTTGGGATGCAACTCAAGGTTTGGATGGCAGTGTTCACGCTTATTTAAATTAACCGCACAAACAGAGCAATCGCACCAGAGTTTCTTTCAATCAAACCAAACCAGCCAACTGTAAACGCCCTTAGTGTGTGTGGCTTTCTCTCTAGGTCTGATAGCATCAGGCAGAACTGAAGATGGCTTTGGCATGGCGTTCGGCGTCAACCACCTGGGCCACTTTTTGCTGACGCTGTTGCTGTTGGATCGTCTAAAGCAGACAGAGCACAGCCGCGTCGTCAACGTGTCCGCCCTGCTGCATCGACTGGGGTCTGTGGATTTCAACCTCCTCAACACTCACAAGGATCTGGTCACAGGTCAGTCATCCTGGCACGCGTTCAGAGCCTACTGCCACAGCAAACTATGCAATGTGCTCTTTACCCGTGAGCTCGCAAACCGACTGGAGGGGACGAGTGTCACTTGCTATTGCCTGCATCCAGGTTAGTGGGGCATTGTTTTTGTCTGCTATTATGTCACAAGTATTATTTTTTTCCCTACATTTTCTTCATTGTCTCGTCTTTAGGTGTAATAGCCACTGAGATCGGTCGGAATATGGGTGTGCTGCAGAAGCTGCTTTCCCTGTTCATGTCCAAGCTGTTTTTTCTGGACCCAGAGGGAGGTGCGCAGACCACGCTTTACTGTGCTTTGCAGGAGGGGCTCGAGCCTCTGAGTGGACGGTATTTCTCTTCCTGTGCCTTGCAGAATGTTAGCGTTCACGGACGGGATGATGCCTTGGCCAAGAAGCTTTGGGAAGTGAGCGAGAGGCTGTGTGGCCTGTAAGTGAGCTCACACAGGTTTGTAGAACAATAGAACTCTAACACAGAAAAGTGTTATGTGATCGTTAACAGCGTTAAGTTTTTCAGGTGTTACAGGTTTGCATTTTCAACAGGTGTATGCATTGTATTTGGTATATAATACTTTATAATATATTGTTGCTTTAAATGAACACAACATATTTAAATTAGGGGTGCACTGATATATTTAATTTCTGATACAATAAGCCGTTAATTATTTTTTTGTTATGGCCCTATAAATGGATGAATTTAAAATTCTATATTAAAATTCTCTTTGATCTTAATTAAAAAAAAAAACACTAAAACCTAAAATCAGTTGTTCTAAATGCTACAAGTGAATAATGTACAGTTTATATCGACCTAATTATAATTATTAAATGTAGTGTTTTTAAAAATTAACTTAGACTGTTAAATTATGGCAAAAGTCAAATAAATGTAAAAATACGAGAATTGAGCATAAACAATAAATTATAATGTAATATTAGAATAATTAAATTATTGGTCAATAACTAATATGGTACTAATATATTGTGCATCCCTATGTTAAATAAAGCAACCATATATGCATAGCTAGGGGAACAGTAATGATAGTAACCTTTGTAATGCCTATTATTTTTTGTTGAAAATATATAGAGGTGAAGTTGCGAATTTGTATTCACTCACTGGACACAATGGACTTTGTATTAAGGTTTAATATTGTGTATTTTATCATTGCTCTATCTATCTTTCTTTCATATATTTAATATCTTTCATTTCTTTTTTTCATATCTTTCTTTCCGTTTTTCTTTCAAATATATTATTCTATATCGATCTATATCGCATTGGTACACTGTAAGAATATTTCTTTCTCTGCACTATTTCATTATGACATAATGCATAAATGTTACTATTTTTTTTATAATCAGTGCTTTTGACCTGAATGCATCCACTTTCTTTTAAAACTCGTGACCAGTTCAAATACCTCATGTATTTGAAAACCAAAATCATTTGAAGAAAAAAAAACCCAAACTGTTTATGAACATCAATTTCTTTCAAACATTTGAACACTTTTTGCCTTGTCTGATAGGGTGTTGTACTTTTTTGGTTCACTGGGTGGCAGTAGCTTGTCACATTTGATAGCCTTCAACTCAGGGCGACACAACCTGAAGAGTCTACAGAGACCTCTGTCAAGATGACAATCATTAGAAAAAAGTAGGTTAGATTACACTGAGAATTGCAGAAGTAATTTCATGTAATATTAGAGTTTGCTTTTCTACTGAATGAAAGTGGGCATCAGGGGCTACAGCCATTCAGTGTGATGGGATAACCAAAACGAGGACTTGTTATAGACCCTTACCCATATCCATGCATCTTCAACAAGACCCCCTGTTGCTAATAAATCCTTTACCTCGAACTGGGATTGTCAGATTTTTGACATTGTGTAGACTTAACATCCTGTTTATATATGCTGACATATCCTCTGCCTTGAGAGTCTGTATACTGTCCAGGTGGATGAATCTGGTTTCATCCAAAGCAATTTTCCCAGTCTCTTCTGTGCACTATTGTTTTGTAGCCTGGAAGTATCATATTCATATCCATTGAATGTCACTCATGCCATATTTATATGATCATGACAGTCAAATCTCGGCGTCCTCCGTGTGTTGGTTCTCATGAACGGTAAGTGTGAAACTACACCGTCCCCTTCGATTCGTTTTGTAGAAGTAAAACACATTGATGAGTGACGGCAGGTGTTTACTTTGGACGCACTCCAGAGCTCTTTGGCACAGTACTTAACGACTGGATTAGTGCATCAATTAGCAATCACTGCATGGGAGGAGCCTGATTGATCGAGACTACTGCTGCTGCTGCTAAGGCTGGGCGTGGGGCATGCTGGGGCATGCGAGTGTTGGAAGCATGCGAGTGTGTGTGAGACTGTAGTGACCAGCTGCTTGAGAATTAGTTCAAAGGACTAATTTCACTGCATGATTGGCAGAATAAAACCATACAGCCCTCGTTGACCTTGTAAGGATATCAAATGCATACCTGGAACTGCCACATGATTGTGATTTGCTAAAGTTAATGTGTAATGTGTCAATGTAGAATTGACTGTAATATAAAATATTTGTTGTTTATTATTTTATATCACAGTATATTACAATACAAAGAATATTATATTAATTACAGTGAGACAACTATAATGATATTATAATAGTTGTCTCGTAATATATTTGTCTTGTTTATATTTTTATATATTACAATACAAGATAACATTTGTATTGTATTATAATGAGAACTATTATCAAATTGTGTTTAATTGTCATCATAATAGAGTGTGATAGAATAATTATGAGACAACTGTTATAATAGCGTATTATGTCTCATTATGAGACATTGAAATAGTTGTTTCATGTTATTGTTATATTATGAGACTAATATAATAAAATAATAGTTCTCATAATATAATATTTGTTGTCTTATTAAAGTACAAGTTAAAATTATTGTAGTATTGAGAACTATTAAATTATATTTGTCTCAGAATATAATACGATTGTTTAATAAGTTGTCTAAATTTTTGTATATAATTACAATACACTATTATAATAGTAGTTTTCTCATTATAATTATTAATATAATACAATCTTTTTAATCTCCTTATATAATATTGTATATGTAATGTAATATATATTTACATAATAGATTTTTTAAAGGGGTCATGAATTGAGAAATCGAAATTTCCGTTATCTTTTTACATATAGGAGGTCTTTGTACTATAAAAATGTCCTGTAAGTTTCAGAACTCAAAACTTTCTTGTTAGTCTAAAAACAGCTTTTATTGAAGACAATCTGCCAAAAAGACAGGTTGTGGAATGTGCCACATTATGACTTAATAGTGTGGCTAAGCACCGCCTCCACAGAAGAAGATCAATGCCTGTTCCTACATCACTGCCTGTTTAGCCCCGCCCACCGATTCACGCACATAGTGAATAATGAGAGAGGCAAATGCAGGTCTACCCTGAAATCAAACAATAAAGATGGCTCTGAAGACAGTGCCAAGTTGTGGAATTTAAAACCATCTTTGCATTGCCCTCCCTCTGATCCTAACATTAGGAAAGAGTGGGTGAACTTTATTTTTAATGAAGATCCAGACTTTGTCAGTAAGAACTTGGCCCTTTGATCACTTCATTTTACCGTGGATTCGTTTATAAACAAGGCACAATTCGACGCAGGATTTTCAGAAAGACTGAAACGAAAGACAATGCTATGCCGACCATATTGGATCTGACAAGAATGTCGCACCACACAAGTGTGAGTAACTGTTTTTATTTCAAATGATCTGTAATAACAGACAGATAATTTGATATGTACTGAGTATTTAAGCGTCTATGAAGGATGTAGGCTGTCAAACTTTCACAACTGTTAGCCAATCATAGCAGTGGGCGTTTACTTCCGAGTCTACAATCCGCCACGCGAGCGTTCGATGAGGGGGTCAAAATAGGTAAAAAAAAAAAAAAAAAAGTGTAGTCTGTGTTTAGGAAACTTCTTTGGTGTTTTTACAATTTTGTTAAGTGCTGCTACTGTTACAAAATACACTGCAGCTTTAGTTTTTATTTCATGTGTTAATAATGAATCTATAATACATAATAATAATAATAATAATGAATAACAATACATAAATATTCAACAATGACAAAATTTACAGTTTTCAGGGATACAGACCAAAAATATTGATGACTCATCCTGCACTACACAGGCTCTCATCCAATCAGATACTCTGTATTATGGCAATATCCCACCCCTAATACCACCTGTAATTGATGACAAGTAGCCATTTGCATCGAAGATATCTGTGAAGTAACTTAAACTGGTTGGACATTTATAAAAGGCAAAAGCTCTTCGTATTTCCCACTCAAACCTTTTTTTGTAAATAGGGAATGTCCAGCAGTTTCATGGGGTTTTAAGCTATATTTTTAATAGCACATCTCTAATTGGCTGCGGCCAGTGAGCTCATTTCATTGGCTCAGTGTGTGCAGTGGCTGGTTTTCTGGGAACAGCACTCTTCCATCTCAGTCTGAAGGGAGGGAGAACGGCAAAGTGATGCTGGGTCTCACTTTAGAGTAACACGTGAGGTGTGAGATGGGAAGAGAACGGGTTCGATCGTGAGACTGGGTGACAAACATTTTGGAGAGTCATTCAAATACAGGCTGCTTGTGTCACAAGCAAAGCCTTCCTATTTTTCCTTCTCACCCACCCCGTGCGGAAATGGCATCTGAAGGCGGTAAATAGAAGCATCCTTTGGGTCATGTTATTTCCACAGGTGCAATTAACACCCCCATCTGCTAATCTGTGATTAACGATGTTTACAAATATGCTGCACATGCCGGAGAGTGTCTGAATAGCAGGTCACACCTTCCTCTTACTCCTTCCCTCTCTAGTCTGTCTTCTTTCCTGCTATTGTGTGCTGGATTGTGTGGATTAGTAATTAGGGTTTGGGTGGGAGGTGGCAGAAGGAAACCAGACCCTTAAAGCAGTAAGCATCACAACATGGCATATTTGCAAAATAAATAAATAAATAAATAAATTCCGTTCATTTAAGTCTGTAGGGTCCAGGAGGCTAAGATCACTTTTGACTTTTGTTTTTCTAAGTTAATAATAAAAAAAATCATTATAAATGATAGTATTTGCATATGAATGTTACTGAAAATTGTAATGAAAAATTTACCTGAATTTCAAAATGTTCGATTTGTCCCCTTTTTTTTTTGCATGTTTTTTCATGTTGTCCATTTTGATCCAAAGAGCTTCAATGGCCTCATCTGACCTTTTGTAAATAGGAATTCACATAAGTGAATTTTTTTAATATATAATTAGAGATTTAGACGTAATGCAGAATTGACATGTAATCACTGATCTGTAATAGAAAATATTTATGTAGATGAGTCTTTTAAGTATAATTATAAATATATTGTATGTATGTTTTTCATAAAAGTTTTATAATATAAATTGATGTATATTAATTATATTTTTGATAAATTATTGCTGTGTAGTAAATCTTCATTTATTACACTGCTTGCAATGAATCTTTGCATTTTCAACAGTGTTAATCTCAAAACACTTAATGTAGACTTCAAATTCAAATTTTATACAGAAAATATTCAATCACAATCTTTTTTTAAATAAATATCTATTTTCTATTTTAATATTAAAGTATACATATAATACATTTTTACAATGTTTACCATTCAAAATTATT